CATAGAACACCACCAAGGAGAAGAAATAGAAATAATGTTTTTTTTTATTATTATGGACAACCTAATGCGGCTATGAGTAAGGCTATTTGTAGAAAACGCTAAAAAACAAGATCTGCTTTTGAAAAATGATAAGATATTTAAAAGAAATGTTTATTATATCCTTTTGTTATGTGCCTCTTGAGTATTCCATAATCTTTGAGTCGAATCTTTTAAAGTCATTAAAAATTATGACTGTTATTCGTTTTAAAATAATGCATGTAATACTTAGCAATTGCTCGATTTCGAGCAACAGGGACACTAGTTAATTTATTTAAAACACTGTAACTCCAAGCTGAGTCATGTTTTGTTAACAATGTCAATTGTGTAGATTTTTTATGTTGGTGGCTTATAACGGATAAACGTCGACTCTCACATTCAAAATCATTGTAAACAAACAAAGATTTAGGCTAGGTAATAAAATATTTAGGGATTTTGAAAAACTTTGTCATTTCGGTAAATCAGTACTTTATATGTTCTAGCTGCTTATTAAATAATTAATCATCATCTATATTTTGTAGGCTTATAAGTTTAAGAAAGAAATTAATTTTAAAATATTTAAGTACCTATAAAATATTCGATAACTGGTAGATCCTTTGAATATGTAATGTTGTTATAATTCTTTGGACGCAAAGCAGGAGGAAAAGACTGGTTTGTTAGGAGACTCAAAAAAGTTTCAAAACTGTTGGAAATTGATTTCCACCAACGTGTACCAATAGATAACATTGAACAACATTTGGTTCTAGTTTTGATACGTTATTAAGGCCATACTGATTTGTTTAGCAAACCTCTGATGCACCAAAGAAGCAAACCCCTTACGCTTGGAATAACTCTATACTATGGAAAACGGCCTTCATAAAAGCTTTAAACTTTTTTCAAGGGATCAAAAACAAAAATGGCATTTTGCTTTGCCCTGATAAATTGCAACTTTAATAGTTAGAAAAAACTTCTACTAAATTCAAACTTAATCAGATATTTGTTTGATCAACTACTGACGAATTTCTTTAATTTGCTTTAACTGTCGTTTCTATTGGCCCGGTTAATCAAAGAAATATTATGTCTTTATTTAATTTTGTATTTAAATGAATCGTTAGATAATTTATTTGCAATAACCACCGTCACAAATAGCCAAATGAGGTTGGAAGCATTGGCTGCAAATCATAATAAAATACAGTAATTTTGTGTTCAAAGACACTTTCACCCAAACCTGTTAAAGCCCATTGACTTAGCCTACGTATTTTACATAACTGTTTGTGATTCTAAAAATATTCTTAGAATAAAATTTAATAATGCGCAAATATATTGGAAAAAATCATCAAGGGGCTAAGTATATTCCGTTTCAATTTATTATTCAGTAGCTTTCAATTGATTAAACTTATAACTTCAAGGGACGTTACTTTGCAATTTCCTGTTTCAGTATTAAGGGTACCATTTTTTGTCGTTTTTTATGTTAGAAACCAAGTTTCTTTGATGATTTCCCCCCACTTTTTATATTAAAATAACATATTATATCGATATTAACGATTTAAACCCATTTAAGTCATCTTCTTTAATACTAATTGTAATTTTATGATGTGATACAGCGTTTTACTTGTATACTCTTCATTCCATTGCCACTGATGTCACAGCTACAATCCATTTATCCGCAGGAAACACTGAGAGTAACGGGTTTTCAGGAAACTCCTTTTTCCCCTCCTCTGCTTCGTACACTTCATTGGCCGTTCACTCACTCGCACCAGATAAACGCGTGTCAATATTCTTCACTGTATGTCTCCAGTTTTTGTATCATTATCTGCCAACATCAAACTGTATGACATCAACATTAACTAACTATCCTCCTTAATATCTTTATTTGTAGAGTATTACGCAGAGAGAGTTTTACGTATTTGAGCTAAAGCCTCTTTGTCCAAAGAATCCAGTTATGCAATAAATCTGTGTTTTATAGATCAATACCGTTTTGTTTAACTCAACAATTATTAACAATCATTCTTATACCTAAATATGTTTTAGGCCATTATTTATGTACGATATACGCAGGACTTTGGCCTGGTTAAACAAATACTTTTCATACTTAAATATTTTTTCTTGTTAGTGAGTAAGGCCGACATATTCCTTGGACACTGCTGTTAATTAATATTATAACATTTATTCAATACAAAAAAGTAATATATAAAATATTGTTAAGGTAGTGAAGAATTGTTTAAGTAGTAGCTTACGGGTTGAACTGCAAGTTAAAGTATTCGTACAAATTCATAATGCTCATCACCGTTGTTCGAACTAATGACCGACGCATGCCAATTCAAATCTCGGAGAAAACTATAGAACTAACCTTTTGTTAATGATAATATTATTTCAGACATATTGTATCTAAAATGTTTTATATTTATTTCAGTTATGTAACTTATTTATATAATGATGCACTTTTGTTTTCTTTCAAATCTCATGCAATGGATGTATTTTTGTTGTCATGTTTAAATAACATGCCTCATAGAGCCATGTATAAAGGTCGTTTTACTGACTTAGTTTTTAACTGTACTATTTTGCTACACTTCGAGTCTTCTATGAGCTAATAATAAACATTATAATGGGGTTCAATGCATGACGGTTTTCCATCCTCAGTTTCGTTCACTTTATTGGTCACATGCTCATGTTTTGTAGATAATATATTATGATATTATCCTCTGAACACCCTGCCTTTTCTGTAGACCTTAATTTTTTATACCAATAAAACCTTTGGGTAAGAAATCAAACTGTATCTCGATGACTGTATCATTCTGTATTATGAATGGACCTAAAGTAATATAATTTGAAACATCTTACATAATAAACCTGCCAGGGCTTTTTATTACACGATCTGAAGCAATCATTTCACGGATTTTCATGAATTTGGGTTGAAAGAAATATAATTTTAAAAGGAAGGAAATGTTGGAGCCATAATTTTACTTTAAGTCTTTCGTTTTTTTATCAAGTTAATTTTTTTGTTTAATTCCATGATCCGACGCTGACGATTTAAAGTGGTTTCAGTGCTGGTTTAACTAACAGCTGGTTTCAAACTGGTGGTGGATCAGGGCTGGAAAAGTTATTAGTCTAAACAAATATTGATCGTCGGTGTTTGCCTTCGTACTGTTTCTCTTTACAGTGTAGTTTTTTCATACCGTAAAGGATTCCCGTTTACAGGAAATGTATAATTTATAAGGTGTCTAGAAACCCTTTCATCAAGCTACAGGGTGACAATAGAAACTAAACTCAATTTATATCGTACCATAACCATCCAGTAGCACAGTACTGTTCGGAAACTTAGGTACTGACCAAAGAACCTCAACACCTTATTGATGGGTTTGAGAATAGAGTGCAGAGAAAATATTCGGACCAGTTCAAGATATCGGATGTTGAGATACGAATGACAGAGAGCTAAGAGAAATGTACACATATCCAGATATAGGAGTGCTTTCCAAAAGTAAAAGGCTCGAATGGGCATGTTCATGGTAGAGAAAATATACATAAACTTTTAGAAGTATGCTCCAAAGAATACCACAAGGTATATGACCATTTGTAAAACCAAGAATGTAGTGGAAAGACCAAGTAAAGAAAGACTGAGATCTACATTAGAAGAGGCAGGGGATAGAAGAGAATGGGAGACCAGGATCCACTTAAGGTTTCAGTGGCCTCGGAGGTAAGATAAAGTGATAGTATGCAATAGGTGGTATTAGCAACCGTAATAAAACCCAGTGGGCGTGAATCGGCCGCCAATCTCACTTTTAGGCTCCACTGTATTGACTTTATATGTATGTTTTTTAACTAAATAAACGTTTAAGTAAGCTTATCATTTGAAAATTAAATCATATGGGTACAGAATTTCCATAAATGCATCAGCACCTTATATATAATTCGTACAAGGTGGCCTTATAAATTAGCCTAGCTTTAAAGAACAATATTTTTTCAAACTAAGAGGTTCGATTAAATTTTGTTTCTGAAACCAAAGGAGAAACTGTTGATTGGAGTAGTAGTTGAAGGAGACGTGGTAGTTGTGTGTGTGTGTAAGGGGGTAACTATTTTATTCAACAGATACCACTTTTTTCAAGGGCCACATTTTTCTCTTTAGTGTCATCTCCGTTACGAAGCACGGGTAGATCAGCTAGTTACAATTAAATAATGTCTCAATGTTTAATTGAAATAATATATTTCACTTCTACTTTTTGTAAAAAAAAATATATATATATATTATAAAAAAAAACAAGGACATGTGCGTAAACTAAGTTTTAACAGAAGGATACACTTCTTTTCTCCGAAGCGGGTTAAATAATGCAATACACACTTTACCTTTGAAAGATTACACCATTAGCCTTTCGAATCACTTGTAGTAAATGATTTATTCAACTACTGTACTATTATATTCAAATATAGCCTTGTAACTGGGCAAGTAAAATATTAAGTTGACGCATAATCATAATTATACAGATTGAAATGTATGAACGTTACACATTTTCAATCTTCATTTGAATTATCTCGTTTAACTGGACCGTAAAGAGTGATTCACCTATCATGCTACAACAACTGATATCAATACAAGTAGCCTATTAACCAATCTGCATAACCTGTTTCGTCTCTTGTTTTCAAAGTGACTGTACTAAAAAATACCTGAGGTTAGTTTGCTATTTACTAGATTTTCCTTTTAAACCTATAATGCACATTCGGCAGTAGCAGCTAGAAATTTGAATGCTGCCTCTAGAACTAGTTAGATGCAATGCTACGAAGTCGAACCCGTAATTGCCTTATCCTTTTATAATTACCATTTAAAATGACATCTTAATCGCAAAAATTGGCTTAGTAGAACAAGTAAAAAGTTAACGTTTCAGATAATTCTCTTATCGTGTTAAGTATATAAATTTAATTTACGAATACAGACATGGACATCTCTGAGAACACGTAAAAACTATAAATTACTTGTGTAGGATTATTGTTACCAGCTGAGTTTCCGAAACTATGTACATCATCATTTTCAGGTTCCATTTGTATTTTCCATTGAGGTGGATCAGTTGCACCTTCTCTTGCTCTCAGCTGGTCAGCGTGTTTTCTCTTTATATCTCCCCCAACTAAAACTGTGTATGATAGCTCTCCCGTCCTTTCTTGTACAGTTCCTGGTCTCCAGCCCTTCTTCGTTTCATTTTGAACCCATACTTCTTGTTTGGCAGAAAACTCCTTTGGTTTGGATTTTAAGTCGTGGTAGTACTTCTGTCGCCACACCTGATTTTCTATTCTATCTCTGCTATTACACCTCCACCTATCCAAAGCTCTTGGTAATCTTCTACCATAGAAAAGGACTGATGGTGGTTGTCCTGTGGTCTTTTGCGGGGTGTTTCGATACGCAAGCAACACTTGTAAAAGTGCAAGTGATGAACTGAGACCTTCTTGTTTGCAAGCACTGTATCGACTCTTGAAGGTTCTGATAATCCTTTCCACTAAACCATTGGTTTTTGGATGATACGGTGCCGATGTGACATGACATATGTTATTCTTCTTACAAAAAGTCTTGAACTCATGGGACGTGAAGGAAGTGCCATTATCAGATAAATTTTTTTTAGGAATACCATACCTCGAAAACCAAGTCCTTAATCTATTTACAAGAGCAGCAGTTGTCGTACGGTCCATAACTTCGATCTCAACCCATTTTGAGTAAGCATCGATTCCTAAATTGGGTGGGGAGAAATGTAGGATTATTGTTACCAGATGAGTTATGAAGTTATGAATCATCTGCTATTTGGTTTGTTTACATTATTGTTTTAGTTTTTGTAAATAAATAGTTTTTGGTTGAGTTTACTTAAAATGAGTTTTAATAATTAATTATTCTATAACTTGTTTAATTATATACTCATTTACTAATATATCGCGTTTATAAGATTAGAAGTGACAAATGTTGTTCTTAAACTATGTGGGAAGTAATATGAGGACAAGCTATCAATAAAGCAGGCTTAGCTAAAAAGTCATTATCAAGGGCCGCAAAACACTTAACTTAACAGCCCTCCGTATATTTTAGCTAATCTATTTTGGTGTCACCATTTGTCATCGCTATTTTACTTAACCAAACCCACTACTACGTAATGGGTCCAATCAATCTAAATAACGATAGTTAAAAATGTGAATTGTTTTGTAGCAAGGTCATGTAGAAAATATTCGTATATAAAATAGCCTACGACCGTAAGATTTGAAATGTCAACGTAAACACATATAAAATTAAAAGGCCTAACACATAAATTATTTAAGTTGTCTTTAAATGGTAACTACACTTTTTAAACCACAGATTTAATCGGTTTTGTACTTATTTCGCTTTACTATTAAAACATAACGTTATACATACTTTTGTTATACACCGCTTAAATATACCAACATTGCAAAAAAGTTCGATTATTGCTAATAAAAAATTACAAAGAACAATGTAAAATGGTGTTGCGCCAATCAACACGTGTCCTCTGTCGTTAGCATTGTACAAAAAGCTTATGTAAAAATATAACGTTAAACGTGTCTTGACATCATTGGAAAAATCACTTTTGCAACTAAGTTTAGAGCTTTTTTTAACACTCAACTTTTCCGCCATGTTAATGAATTAAATAAGTCAAAAAGTAAATTTCTAGTGTCTTTACATTATACATAATTTGTTCTTAATATCATTTAAATTTATTTAAATTATGGAAATCGCCAAAGAAAGTGTCTTAAAATAAAATTAATTCTTTTGGTGTATTTACTTTAGTAAGAAATCTATTTATTTAGTTTAAGTATTCAGTTTCTTTCTTCTTTATTTTTTCAATACATGTGCAGGTTTTTCACCTTATTAATTACATTTGTAGAATTACTGATAGGTAAATATGAGGTAGGTTATATGGGTTTAGCAACTTTCAGTTTTAGTAGCAGAAATTGTTATGTTAACTTCATTCTCTAGGCTTCTGCTGGTTCGGACAATAGTGATTTCTGTACGTTAACATTCTTCTTTTCTAATTTCTTTTTAAATCCAGACAAATATACCCGTGTAAGGTTTATAACGGTATCAGGTGTTCCGAGATTACCTTAGTTATGGCCTCAACATATTTCCCAGTAGCTCTGCCGAATTTATCACCGATGTTGCGAACTGCAATTATTAAGTTTCTGATATTTATATTTTACGCATAAAGGATAATTATGATATGTGTACAGTTTTGCTGTTTTTTTACAATTTTGTAAAATATTGCTGGTTTAAAAAATTTAACTAATGTAAATAACTAATCAAAATAAAAAATAAAAAACTAATGTTCCACATCAAAAGTAATAACTACTGCTTAAAAATGTAATAGAATTATTGTTTAAACTACATTTACATTGTAATAATTTTTATCGTCTACAATTTTTCGAATGTTACAGTTCAGATTATTTTGTAATTAAAACAAAACGTAAAGAACCTTGTTTGATGTAACTGTTTATTTCATTATCAGTTATAAACTCATTGTACATTAATATTATTGAGGCAAGTACATACTTGATATTATTGTGATAAATACATATTGTATTGCGAAAATAGGCCATTTACTCGACTGCAGCAAGATCAGTATCATTGTAACATTCTAGCAGTCCTGATTTGCGATTACTTATAATCCAAGGAAAGTTACATTGTACGTTTCAAAAAATATCTTAACTTTAATCCAGTCTTCTTCATTTGAAGGGTTTCCCAATTACTGTGAGGCTTTTAACATCATTTGCATTCATCATAACTAAGATATTGTCTGTGTGGGATTTCATGAGACTTCCTGTATGTCTACTTCCCATACTGATGTGTCCTTTATGATAGTAGTCGTTGCCAGTTTGCAGCCTTCCATGACAAATAGTTTGAGTATTGATTTAATAATGATTTCTTACAATGATGAGAAACTAAGAGTTTCTCTTGTTTACTGTATTTTACTCCAGACATTTTATTTGAAGCATGGTCATTATTCTTCCTTCCTGATTTTATAACTAAACCCTCACTGCAGTATTGCACATTTCTGGCATCAATTGTTTTTTTCATATGCACAAAGCTGTGTAGTAAGTGTGTAAATACTTACCTTACATTTCCCCATTGACCTCCAACTAGACCTAAATTAGAAACGTTCAGATAATATCCTGTTACTTTTAGTGTCTTTACTAATTTCTAGCTTGGTTATTCAATAGGTTTTTGACATTTGCTGGCTGGATATGTCTTTAGTCTATATATCTAAATATCTTTTGCAGCTAAAGAATCCTAAACAATATGATAAGCCTTGTCCTCTGAGACACCATCGTACATATTATGCAGTTCTAGTCATGCTTCCCTAGTCTTTGAAAAACGCATAACCTTTTTTAAAGTTTTCCAAGCCATGTTTATACTAATAATCAGTGCAATGCTGTTTGCCTTGGTTAAATTAATTATATCTAAAACATACCGAGCTCTCTCCTCTTCTGTTACTCCTGTATTCAGCCCCTTAGACATTAAACGCAACATGACAAATTTTGCCCGACGTCCAACACATTTGGTAAGTTTCTTAGAAGTATTTTGCATTTCCGAGGTGACCAATGTTTGAAATAAAAAAATATACTTTCGTTTGGTAAACTGCATTAATTATTATTACTAACAAATCATTTTGATGATGTTTACAAGCGTCAAAATTATTTAATTCTTACTTCTACACAATTTTAAAATTGGCACAAAGAAAAACATTAAATTGATTAGTTAATTTGAACTATGAACTCCTGCCACCATGTTAAATATTCCGAGAATATACGATTTAATAATTAAACAATGAAACAGTTATTCAATAAACATCTGAGTGATGCTGTTTATTCAAATTAAACATTAACACTAACTAAACCAAATGTTTTCAAACTGTTAATAAAGATCACATTACTCCTTCTAATTCTTAAACCTTTGCTTAATGCAACCAAACAACTTATTTTATTGATAAAATAAAATAATTACCTTATCTAACCACGGTTAATCGTCATACGACCAACTACGGTTGGACAAGGTGATTATTTTTTATCAATATTATATTCCCACCAAGGGTCACAATGAATTGTAAACTTATTTGAATACTGCCTTTTTTATACATTCCTTAAGAACCCCAACTTATGTAAACCCCAACTTGTGTAAGACAGAGTATGATGCAAATCCTCTTGGAGAACATACACTTTTTCAAATAAAAAAGGTTAATTACTGGAGCGTTATTACTTACATATTTGTCTTGGCCTTTGGTATAACGGTTTAAGACTTACAGTACAATTGGTCTTTTCTACTGATATTCAATGACTAAGGTTAATACCTGAATGTCTTAATACCTTAAGGATTCACTTTATGCTAAAACCAAATTAGAAGTAATACTGCATTTAAATGAAACCGTAAAAAATATCAAACAAATATCATCCAAACGGAGTTAATCATAATAGTGAAATCATCAACCCCCACTACAGCTCTTGGTTGAGAGCGTTTACATGTCGTGGGTACACACAGTCAAGTATTTACTGTTGTGTGTCCAAACAAGCCCATAAAGCCGAGATGTTACTTAAGTGCATCTTCGAACAATTGTACTACTTTTGTTATATAGTCGTAATACAAAAATTATATATTTAAATACTTGCTAAAATTTGAATTCGTGCATGATCTTATATGGAGGATATAACGCAAATGCTCATATAATAGCTATTCTGTTGGTTGTATTGCTGACGTATTATGTTTTGATTAAAGAGTAATCAGACTATCAAATTCCTTTTATTAAGCTAATTCTTTGATGATTTATAATGTTCTGTATATTTTTTCATAATTAATTGCCAAAATATCGGATAAGGGCTGTCGATTTCACCTGATGAGATTCTCTAAACAAATAATAAATTATATTTTTGTTACTCTGATATAAAAATAAATGCAAAACTCAATACTGCAATTGGACGTGTTTATTCTTGTGTTGTATCATAGGGTTTCACTTAAATGATTTGGACCGATTGATTTAAAGTTATTTTTGTCATATGTATTTTATTGCAAACATCACAGTATCATTATATTTATCTATAATATTAAAACGAAACAGTGTTTTTTTATTTCACGATTCTGAATCAACCACTCGACGGATTTTCATGATTTTTGTGTTGAAAGAAAGATAATTTTGAAAACTAGGGAATGTCGAAGCCATAACTTTAGTTTAGGGTCTCAGTTTTTTAGAAATTAAGTTTTAATTCTTTAAAAGTCTAGCAGCCGACTCTAAGATTATAAACTAGCTTTTGGCATGAAATAGTTTGCTTCATAACAGCTGTAAACATTCAGCTTTTGTGTCACAAATTCAGCATTTGGATAGAAATGTAAAGACATACTTAGGGTTGACTTTTTTATACTATCTGTAATGCTAATCATTAATACGTTGAATTCTTCTGTAAGAGGATGACAGATTAATTTAATATAGTGACCGCAGACAAGGAGTGTAATTTTATATTTTTTTGTGTGTGGTAATTTAGTTTAAGTTTAAAAATTGTAATAGATAATAACAAAATATATTATATGTTTTCAAGTCCTTAGTACCAACGCCTAAAAAGCTTCATTGAAGATCTACATAACAATGTCCCTGCTAATTCACACTAGTAAAAATGGGAATAAAATCAAAGAAAGAAAAGGTTTAGCAAAT